CCACAGGACAGGGCGCAGAGCACTGTTATTCACAGGGTTTTTTTTTTTTTTTTTTTTTTTTTTTTTGAGACAGAGTCTTGATCTGTCGCCAAGCTGGAGGGCAGTGGTGTGATCTCGGCTCACTGCAGCCTCTGCCTCCCGAGTTCAAGCCTCAGCCTCACAAGTAGCTGGGACTACAGGTGTGCGTTACCATGCCTGGCTAATTTTTGTATTTTTAGTACAGACGGGGCTTCACCCATGTTGGCCAGGCTGGTCTCGAACTCCTGATCTCAGGTGATCCACCTGCCTCGGCCTCCCAAAGTGCTGGGATTATAGGCGTGAGCCAGTGTGCCCAGCATTCACAGGTATCTTTCTGGAGGAAGGAATGGAGTTTCACCCAAGGCCTCAAGGATTCGTGGGTGAAGAGGGATGGAGGTGAAGTTGTGAGTTGGAGGAGATTGTGATGTGTTCCGGACAGGGAATCCCAAGTGCAGAGGACTGGAGGTGAGAGGAAATACCGTTTCTAGAAACATCTTGCAGTATGACTGGTATAAATGAAGAGAGACAGGGTGAGTGTTAAGGGAAGATGTTGAGCAGATGGGAAGTGAGAGTTGGTGAAGGAAAGTGGGCAAGGCTGGGACCATGGGTAGTCTTGGAAGTTACCTTAACGCACCTGAACTTCCTTCTGAGGGACTGTATATCTTTTTGAGGTTTCAATCAGAGCAGAGACTTGATCAGGTCTGTGTTTAAAAAGATCACTTAAAATGGAGAATCGGACATAGGTGAGAACTTGTGTGGTTTACAACCTGGGCTAGGCTGATGATGATGACCTGGACAGAGAGGCAGTAACTTTGAGGCCTAGTTGGAAGGCTGGGGGTTACCACATAAAATAACTTAGTTTTTCAAACATATGGAGAAGTCAAAAGAATGTTATCTCCAGCAACTCAACTTGATCATGGCCAACTTTTCAGTGTGTTTGGTTTACCTGTTTTCCTATTATTTTAGCTATACATTTACTTGGTTCCTTTAGCAAATCTCCACTGTGTCAGTCAGAAAGATACCCTTAAATCCTGGCCACTTATTAAGATCAAGAACTTGGCTTAATTTCTTAATCTTTCTGCGCATGAGTTTCCTCATCTTAAACAATGACACTGCCTCCTAGGGTGATAAGGTCTTAATAGTCTCATAAGTGATAGACACCAGCTCACTATATTTAGTAGTTTGTGCATCCAAACAGCCCAGAGTTAGAGGTGGATTTCAGGCTTGGCTGGATCCAGGGGCTCACCATTTTTCTCTTTTCCATTCTGTTAGCTTCTTCAGATTGTAGCAACAGGGCCATTAGCAGCTCCAGACTCAGATCTTGACCTCATATCAAACCAGTGGGAATGTCTATGCTCATCTCTCCCTCTCCCACAAGTCCTGGATGTAGTTAGACCAAAGTCATATAATTGCTAAGGCCAGAGTATTTGAAAAATCTGCACAAGGTTGATCAGGTGTCATGCCTGAAGGGATGGTGTTGAAAATTTGGGGGCACTACCTGTACCATATGGAGAAGTAGAGGTGTTTCCACCTTAAAGCAATGGAGAAGGCTGCTCCCCCCACCAAAAAAATAAGTAAATAAATAAACATTAAATAATTGATAGCAATAATTATAGTGTTATTACTATTAAATTTTGGAACCTTTGATAGTTGCAAACCTTTCACACCTTCACTCACTGCAGAAGCTTTGAATTTTTGAATGGCTTCTGGTCTACACCCTTTGGCTATTTGTCCTTAGAGTGGAGTGGGCAGAGTTTCCTTAGGTTTCTGCTTGGCCTGGGTACTGGCTGGTTCACATTACCAGGCTGATATCTTAACCTGCATTTCCCCAGAAGCAGGTCCCCAGGTGAGCTTTCCGTGTAGTAATTTGGTTGGGAAGTTTGCCCAACAGCCCTCCTATTTGGTGCTGGACCATGAGAAGCAAGGGCAGCTGTTAGGGCAGTGTCTTCCCAAGCAGCTCCTGCAGCAGGCAGCTGGTACTGGGGACTGCTGGGAGCCAGTGAGGCACACGCTCAGAACCCCCAGCCCTCTGGGATATTCTGTTTTGCTCCCAGGTGAGGGCTCTTCCTATGGCCATTCATGCCCTTTACCCCTCTGACCTTCCTGGATTGACTCTCAGGAGGTGCCCAAGAGAAAGCTGCATGGGGATGAGTTGCAGATAGAGGGACCGCAGGTGTGAGCGCTGCTGTGCTGTCAGTGTCTGCTGCAGCAGGTACCTGGAGAAAAGGATGCTGGGACCATGGCGTTCACAGTAGGGAACTTACCCTCTGCATAATATTCCTCTTTCTGTTGAAATTGCTACACCAGGGATCATCTTTTTACTCCAAGTTAAGAGAACTTAAAAGCTGGTTGGAAGTCCAGAGAGAACAATGGGATTTGTGAGTTTACCTGACTACTGAGACCTTTTCTGACCATTTAAGTGTATTTTGTGAAGCTTCCTGACTTTTTCAGATCTTTTCAGATACTTTATTTAGAAAATATCTTAGAGATTGGGTGCAAAAACCCAAAAAGTTAGGGTAGTTACCAGCATCGAGAAAGCTGTTTTCTTCTTAGGGAATATGAAGTTTTCAGAATTCTGATTAATGAACTACCTATCCAGTGATAGTAATCAGAGCGTAGATTTTATACTGATGTTTAATAATCATTTTGTTTTTTAAAATATTGTGAAGTACTGGGGGGGGGGTTGCAGGGGGTTTGGTTTTATTTAGAAAAACCTGGCTCTGATTGTGGGGAGGTGGTAGAATTGGAAACCCAACCCTAGCTACTGAGGAGTGCCCGTGTGTTAAAATGAGGATGAGATGTAAGAAAGACCATAGAATTTGCTGGAGGCCACAGTGATCCCAGAATTCACAGGTTGCATTTCCAGAGCAGCGTTCTTGAGAATTTCTAGTCCAGTCTCTATCACCATGTATTAAACAGCGCGCATAGTGTGGGAAGCCACAGTGCCACTAACATATCAAAAATGCTGGGCTTACGGTAAATACGCTCTGGGCTTCGCTGCTGAGCGAAGGGCCAACCTCCTCAGGATGCTTTTGTGAAATTTCTGGGGAATCCAACCAGAAGCCAATTTTGATGTTGTAACTTTTGCTATATTGATAGAATGAGCCTGAGAGAAAACTCACATGGTATGAGGCATGCCATGTACGGCAGTTCACTTTCATTAGCTGGTGGGACAGTGACGTTGAATGTGCCTCTGATTGGATGGAAGAAAACACATGAATCTGTGTTCATTGCAGCGAGACCTCCTTGGAGTCCTTTCTGTCGCATAGGTAGAGAAGGGATGCCTGCTGCTTTCTGATTTGGAGTGGGTGGAGAAGGCAAACTGAGGATTTTCCTCTAAATAATTTAGACTGCCTGGGCACAGGTGAGAATGCCCATGACGGAGCAATTGTCATTAAAGAGCCTCACACAGTGCTGTGCTGACAGGGGGTGCCAGTGGTCCAGGGCCTACTTCTAGGAAGGTCTTGTACATTTCAAGTAAGTAAGGGACTAAGGCACCCTGGAGGTACTGGTTACCTTGGCTTGTACTGAGCATTTCTCTACTTGTCTGTTTTGTTTCACCAATGGTGTGTGCATCCTTAAATGAAGAGTAGTGTTGGAAGCTTACACGTGGCTATATAAAGAAGGGGCAAGGTTGCCACTGTTACGTAAGGATGTCAGGAGAAGAAAAACTGAAAAGAGTTTCAGTTCGCCATCTGGCGTCAGCTTCCCTGGGAGATGAGCAGAGGCCACTCTGGCTTCAGCAGACAAGGTTGTAGGTGGGTCCTGACAGACAGTCCCAGCTGAGGGGGTCCCATAAAGCTGAAGAGTGGGCCAGTCACTGGCAGAAGTGTGGTCTAGGGAAAAGGACTGTATTTAGACTGTCAGCTCTCCGCAGAGGTCTAGCCAAACACTTGTATAGGCGACTGGTAAGTCCCCAGCTGAGCCCGGTGACCAGGAGGAGAGCTGTAGCCATAGCCTGTCTGCAAAACCACACGGGTAGAGGGATGTGGCTGAGACACTCACTGCTGCCTCCCATCCCTAAGTAGTAGTGCTGTTGCATGGATGTGCCAGCACACTTGAGAAGAATGAGGACAAATAGTGACTGCTATCACATTCCACGTGGTATGAAGCTTGTGCATCTGTGCTTTGAGCTATGTATTGTGGTTTATCACACACTTATTTTATATCCTCACCCCATAGAAAACCATAGGCCGAGTGTGGTGGCTCATGCCTGTAATCGCAGCATTTTGAGAGACTGAGGCAGGCAGATTGCTTGAGGTCAGGAGTTTGAGACCAGCCTGGCCAATATGGCAAAACCCTGTCTCTACTGAAAATACAAAAAATTAGCTGGGTGTGATGATAGGCGCCTGTAACCCCACCTACTTAGGAGGCTGAGGCATGAGAATTGCTTGAGCCTGGGAGGTGGAGGTTGCAGTGAGCCAAGATCACGCCACTGCACTCCAGCCTGGGTGATAGAGCAAGACTCCGTCTCAAATGACAGCAACAACAAAAAAGATAAAAACCTAAATTTAGAAGGCCAGGGAAGGGAAAATATATCAACAACCAAAAGACTTGAATTTTAGAGTGTATATTTTTGAAGATGGGTTTTAAAAATTCAATTGAATGATGTTTATGACAATTGTAATTAGATTTACTTTGATATTCAAAGTATGGCATATTAAGGAAGAAATTATAGAAGTAATGTATATGATTGTAGTTCAGTGATAATTGTGAAGTTGAATAATATATTAGGTCACATACTTCTTTTATGACATATATTTTTATTCTTTTATTTACCAAACCAAAAGACTCTGGAGCTAGATTTGTCAAATTTGCATTCTGTCTCTGCCATTTACTACTGGCTTGATCTTGGCTTAATCATTTTGGCTTCAGTTTCCTCCTATTACACTTTTGTTTTTTTGTGTAGCAGGTAAGTGTGGTGTGCCTGAATACTTGTTACAGTGTTGATATGTGAATAACTTTTATTTTATTTTTAACAGGGATCTCCGAAACAATCTTATTAGTAGTATAGATCCAGGTGCCTTTTGGGGACTGTCATCTCTAAAAAGATTGTAAGTGTTTGAATTGCTTGCTTATGAGTTTGAATTGTTCCTTGTATAAGTAGCTGTCAACTTACTTTAACATGATGAAAAATGGACATTTAATAATTCTTTGAGCTTCACCTGACCAGGTCCCTGATACAGAAACAGAAAGAGGCTGGGCGCAGTGGCTCACGCCTGTAATCCTAGCACTTTGGGAGGCCGAGGCGGGTGGATCACCTGAGGTCAGGAATTTGAGACCCACCTGACCAACATGGTGAAACCTGGTCTTTACTAAAAATACAAAAATTAGCTGTCATGGTGGCGTGTGCCTGTAAGTCCCAGCGACCTGGGAAGCTGAGACAGGAGAATCCCTGGAACCTGGGAGTGGGAGACCACAATAATCTGAGATCGTGCCACTGCACGACAGGGCGAGACTCTGTCTCAAGAAAACAAAAAGAAAGAAAAACAGAAAGAATATTTTATGTAAGTAGCTGAGAAGGTGGTTAATTTGCACAGTGGTTTGATTTGTTTGATGGTGGCTGGCTGTGTTCCTCTTCTGCTACTGAAATCATTACCATGTCGGCTTTGCCAGCAGACATAATCTGTAGACGATTTTCAAACTGTGTCTGTTGTAAATGCCATGTAAACAAAGGTACCTTTTAAGTAATGATTTAAAGTCTTGCCATTTTCATGTGTGTCTATATATTACGATTTTGAAACCCAAGGACCAGTTTTTTATTACTTCTGAAGCTAAACAACTCCCCTATCTCCTATATGAAGCTCCTTTCGCAGTTGCTGTGTGAGCAGGCCCACATTTTAGAAGCGGCTCTACAAAAAAGCCATGAGGACTGTCTCTCCATCCTTTATTCTTTCTGAAAGCATTTACTGAGCACTTAACCACTTACCATGCCCTGACTTCTTTGGAAGATCTTGCAGACTCTTGGGGTTTGGGGGGATAGATGTAGGAGAAGAAAAATAATTTTCCCTCTACCCTTCCAGTTTCTCAGCTTGGACCTCTAACAAAAGACAGATTAACAAGAGAAAAACAGAAGTGTATTGAGAAAACTCAGGAAAAGAGTAATTCTCAAAAGAGGTGGCTTAGAACTCTGGCTTATGTAGCCTTTCAACAAGGAGCAATACGTTTTTTGAGAAGTGACAAGGCAAAGGAGAAGGACCTTGAGTCTCTTAAGGGAAAGCAAATTGTGGGAAGGCAAACATACAGGAGACTAATGGTAGATAAAGTCTAATTAGTAATGTTTGTTGTGTAGATTCCTTTGGTGCCTTGACTAAGCTGATAAGGGTCCAAAGCCCTCTCCGGGGAGGAACTTCTGTCCCTTCTGGTGGAGAAGGGAGGAGGGACACCTTTCTAAATTTATGTCCTGCTTTTCATCAGATAGGGTAGAGCCGAGAGCTTTTCTTGTATCTGTCTGCTTTTCAATCGGCCTGTAGCTAGAAATAATCCTTATGCCAATATGACATGTTTTGGGTGGCGTGTTCTGCTACCCTTAGTGCAAATACATCTGAACGCACACACAGGTGCTGTAACAGGTAAAATCATAAACATAACCTGCTAGGGAAAGGAGAGAGCGCCTGCGATGGGAACAGCCTGCCGTGAGAGCCACGGACTTGTTTAGATTTGAACTTGCTCCCAGGGAATGAAGATGTATTAAAAAGGCCTTCCAAAAAGGGTGGACGCAGGTGTGCAAGCATGTATCTCTTGGGACAATAGTTTAGTTCTTTGATCAGAGCAGAAAGTAGAAAGAGGAAAAAGAATATTGGAAGATCATGCTGGTCAGGGGACTGGGCTTTTGAAGACCTGCTATATTAAAAATGTTTAATCTGTTCTTTAGACAGTAGAGGGCTACCAGAACTTTTTGAATATGGAATTGACATGATCAGATTTGTATTTCAGAATATTCTGATGGCAATAAGGAGAAACCACATAAGTGTAGGGAGACCAGGGACAAAAGATCAGGGAGAGAGACCAGATCCGTGATTTTATTTTCCTTATAGTCATCCTTTTGGCTGGCTCTATCTCTTGTTTTTTTGGGATTCTTATACACTTCTTTAAGTTTTCTTTTTTTTCCCCCTCCAGTGTGTGTGGGTATTTTTTTATGTCTTACTGGTTTTCTGTAGTATTTGCATAATAACACTGGGTATGGCTGCTTTTAGTTTAATTACACCATGACTTAAATGTTGACATTGACTTTCCATCCTAATACTTTTGACATCTTTTGTCTTATTTAGTCGTTTAAAACCTATTTCTTTTTTTTAAAATTTTTTAGTTCAGGGGTACAAGTGCAGGGTTTTTTTTTTTTTTTTTTTTTTTTTTGAGGTGGAGTCTTGCTCTGTCGCCCAGGCTGGAGTGCAGTGACGCAATCTCGGCTCACTGTAAGCTCCGCCTCCTGGGTTCCGGCCATTCTCCTGCCTCAGCCTCCTGAGTAGCTGGGACTACAGGCGCCGCCACCACGCCCGGCTAATTTTTTTTGTATTTTTAGTAGAGACGGGGTTTTACCGTGGTCTCGACCTCCTAACCTTGTGATCCGCCCGCCTCGGCCTCCCAGAGTGCTGGGATTACAGGCGTGAGCCACCGCGCCCGGCCACAAGTGCAGGTTTGTTGCATAGGTAAACTTGTGCCACGGGGGTTTGTTGTACAGATTATTTCATCACCCAGGTATTAAGCCTAGTACCCATTAGTTGTTTTTCTTGATCCTCTCCCTCCCGCCACCCTCCTCCCTCCAAAAGGCCTCAGTGTGTGTTGTTCCCTCTATGTGTCCATGTGTTCCCATCATTTAGCTCCTGCTTAAAAATGAGAACATGCAGTATTTGCAAAACCTATTCTTTTTTATTGTCAAATCCAATTGTAAAAATTGGTCATGCCCTTTTTGCAAAATATTTTTTTTGTTATTGCTTTTGCAAGTAAAATATCTTTTATCTAAAACCTGTAGATGTAGCTTTCCTCCTATTTTTCTCTCTTAGGCAGTCTTAAGGGTCAGAATTCTGTAAGGTTAAGAACGGTAGGAGTTAAAGGATTTTCTCTTTGTCTTTGAAAATTAGTTACAATTTGAATCAGTAGGGAATTTTCATACCGTAGTTTTTGCTGGGGGTGAGTGGTGGTTCCCTGTGTTTATCAGTCTTTGTCTGCACTCATTAGAAGCTCAGGGCCATCTGGAGGAGATCTTGCTGCTAATCAGTTTTCTTCTTTTCCGCCCATTCTACACTTTATTATTTTCTAGTGAAGGCTTTTAATGAAACAAGTTAGAAAAACTGGCTGGTCTGGGGTAGGTGGTAGTGGAGATTGGAGTTCTAGGTAAGAAAGGTAAGAGTTATAGGAGGGTGGAGCTTAGGCATCAGATTGCATGGGCCCAAGCCAGGTTTAGAGTTCAGTAAAAGCACTCTCAACCAGGTATGGCAGCATAATCAAAGTGATAAGGTGATGATCGGCGTCAGTTCAGTTAAACAAAAATTCCTGAAGTTCATCCTGAGAGCCCAGCTGTGAGCAAGGCTGTGGAGACACACAGGTAAATCAGGAACCTCTTGAGGGGTTTGCAGTCTAATGGAATTACAAACACTGACCACGAGCCTGGATATGGAATCGAAATACAGTTGCAAGGAGATGACGCAGTAGCTAGAGTTTAGCTGCTATAAGAGTCTTGGAAGTTGTTAGGACTTAGCTATCAAGACACAGGCGGGGGATATGGAGCATGACCGTAAACAGGCTGCGCCTCCAGACACAGGTCATTAGGGAGTGGAGGGGCAGCAGCAGGTGAGCGTGATTTACAGCAGTGACTCCCTTTCTTTGTGCTTCTGTCTGTGCCGGAGTCAGTTTTGCACCCATGCCTGGGAAGATGAATCCTCAAGTAGAAAGCAAAAGTGTAGGGGCTCAGATCTACCCTATCAGAAACTCTGGGGCTGATGCTGAATGATTTTTATTTCAACCATCCCTCCCAGTGATTCTGATGTGAAAGTATGAGAACATTTAGAATATTTTTCCCTCCAATCTATTTTTTTCCCTTAATGAGCGGAATGTGAAATTATACTCTCAGACAGGTCGTTATCGTATCCCCTCCCTCTGTGTTCCACACTGTTGTAGTCACAGCTTTTAGGTAATAAAAACATTAATGCTGATTAATGTTATCTCTATGCTGAGATACAGGTTGAAGAAAACTTGGCTGTTAATAAAAAGCAGTTTCTTCAGTATGTTTTAGATACTGCAGACTATCTTAGAATCTCCATCTAGTTATTTATCTTTCAGTAAATAATCTCTTAAGCACTGCCATCCAAAATGAGTTTTAAAAATTCTTGTTCAGGAGTATTTAATATAATTACTGATATTGTACCAGGCATTGCCTTAGTAGTCTTTCACTGTGTTACATGTTAAGTAGTCTCTTGTGTTCTTGCTTAGGAAGGTAATTGCCATTTATAATATTCTTCCCATTAGAAGATACATTCTTAATTCCAAACAGATGACTTATAATTAACGTAGGATACACAGCTTGCAAGCTGAAGAAGTCCTGTATGTAAACTCAATGGGATATAAAGATATTTGACAGTAGTGTTTGCTAGTTGCTCATAGATACAGACCCTTTTTTTTTTATGGGTTCTTAAGTCATTAATTTCAATTGTGCATCTCTCTTAACAAGCATACATAAAGTATTTTTGTTATTATACCATGCCTTTGCCTTTAGTTTATAAATAATTTGAATCAGGAAGTTGAAGTGGCTTTCTGAAGAATATACTATCAGAAGTAGGTGAACCCTAGATCCATCAGTTTCTCTTGTGTTTCATCAGCGAATTTAAGTTGATTCTCAATCCAAATAAAAACCCATTATCAATATCTAAATACCATTTTAAGTAGGTATAGCTGTAATGAAATTGTTTCCCAGAGAATCAATGGTAATTGCACCATTTAAAGCTCAGAATTGAGACAGGATTATAAATACAGCCCAGATATGCTTGTTTATGCAACAATTTACCGGAAGATGCCTAATTTTTGTTAACAGTGAAACCTAGAAATAAAAGGAAAATCAACTGGAATTTAAACGAAAAGGCCCCATATGATTAAATACTTAGGAGCTACAGAACAATGAGGACAGGTAAAGACTTGTATTGCTTAAGATTCTTTTATCAAAAGTTGCCATAAGAGAGGGAAGGCAGAACTATGAAAGTATTGAAGACCAGGATTACCTAAGGTGCTGTGTTAGGCCTCTCCAGAGAGAGAGAACCAGTAGGATGTATGAGAGGGGATTTATTAGGGGGAATTGGCTCACGTGATCACAGAGGGAGAGAGGTCCCACAATAGGTTTTCTGCAAGCTGAAGGGCCTATGAATCCGGTAGCATAGCTCAATCCAAGTCTGGAAGCCTCAGAACTGGAGAAGCTGACCTTGCAGTCCCCAGTCCAAGGCCGAAGTCCTGAAAGCCCCAGGAAGCCCACTGGTGCAAGTTCCAGAGTCCAAAAGACAACCTGCAGCCTGATGTCCAACAATAGGAGGAGAAGGCGTCCTGCTCTGGAAGGGGAGAGAGAACAGAGAGAGATAAGCCCTCTCTTTTGCCTGTTTGTCCCAGCGGAGCTCCAGCTGATTGGATGGTGCCCACCCACATTGAGGGCAGGTCATTCCTCTCTGTCCATTCACTCCTGCACCAATCTCCCCTGGAAACACCTTCACAGACACACCCAAACCAATGCTTCACCAGCCAGTGAGACCTCTCAGTCCAGCCAAGTTGATGCCTAAAATTAAACCATCTCATTTTAACTTTTGAAATAGTCAAGGAAAAATGCAAATGAGTTAGGTACCTGATTCAAATGGTACGTTCTTAGAATTTCTGGTGAGACTACTACATCTTCTGCCATGACCAAGTACACAGTTTAGAATCCAATACTTTTAGTTTGAAATGGATGGTGTAGATCGCCTTATTGTAGAGTAACTGAGTAACTCAAAGAATGTGTACCTCTCTATGAGAGAGAATAATAGGGACTTTGGAGGCAATATGATGAAAATATTTTTGAAAGTTTGGCTTAGGGAGCTTATTCTAATTATTTTGTTAGAATTCAGAGTGTGATGAATTATTCCAAGTCTAGCAACTAATAAAACTTAAGATTCATTGCTTCAGGGTTTTCTTGCATAGGGCTTACTAAGTCCACTGAAAACAATGATGCAAGTCATGCCATCCCAGGTGAAAGTTACAGATATTTTTAGTGGTTATCTCCCAACGTAAAGTTTTTACTTTTAAACCAGTGCAGATCTCTGATTAAATGTAAAAATAAAATTGTGTTCATTGTCCTTGATGTCAAGCAAAATAAATAAAAAAGGATAGAACAAAATATTAACTAAAACTTTTACATAGGTAAAAAGAAAACAGTTTCATTGAGGAGAAGTAAAAAATATTTAGAAGGTAACATTTAATAGGAAATAGAAATGAGGAGTGATTGCAAAAATAATTGGGCCATATCATAGATATTGTTAAAGTAATTTGGCTTAGAGTCTGAATGATAGATCTGTAAACTGAAAGCTAACATGGTTTTTTTTTTTTTCATTATAGTTGAAACTTCTGAGTATTTAAGGAGTGAAGTCAGAAAATGGTATTTGCAGATGTTCCTCAGGAAACAAAAGTTCCATCATTGTAATAATTTGCCCATTTATCCATTATCTGTTATTTACTGGCTGAGTTTGGGCTCAGTTCTCCAACTGCCCCAGCATCATTAACTGTGTAGGTCATCTAAGGAATTGTATTGCGGGCAGCAAGATAGTTTGAGTCTCATTTTTACTACTCCAATTTTATCTTGAGTAATTTTGCAAGAGTAAGTACTTGAAATATAGAGGGCACCATAATTGAGCAGCATTAGTCTGTGCGTGCCAGCAGTAAGTGAAAGCAAGGATCATTTTCGGCCTCACTGCTATCCTTATCTCACTTGAGTAGAGTAAATATCTCAAAGATGCTAGAATAAAGGTCTTGTGCGATACCTGGATGCTGTTCTTGAATACTGAATGCATGAGACCTTCATTAACCAAGAGATCTAATTGAAGACACTTTTCCACCCTTCTCCTTAGGGATCTGACAAACAATCGAATAGGATGTCTGAATGCAGACATATTTCGAGGACTCACCAATCTGGTTCGGCTGTAAGTACATCTTTTCTTTCCCATTAAAAGATAAGGAAGCATTTGAGCCAGTACCTAAATATGTATGAAACTTATGATATATTTAATTATAAGTAGCAACTGTAGGGGTTTTAGAAGCCGTAAGGGACAGGGAGCTCACAATTTAATCATGGGGGTGTAATCTCAGAATATAATGGTACCTTACCACACCACACACGGACACATGTGCGCACACAGACACATGGGTACACACACCACATAACACAGTGTAGTACATGCAACAGAGAGCACATTCATGCTGAGAGGTATGATCAAAAGCTTTGCTAGTCTGGGAAAATTTGAGCTGATGTGCGCTGATGGCCCAGATGATTTGCACAGATCTGGATAGTTAGAAAGGAAAAGAAGCCAAACCAATGATACATGAAGGTGGGAATGAGAACAAGGCCATTTATCAAGGAGAGGCCTGGTGGACTTGGAGTAAAATAACCATTTGAATTGTGCCTCTGACCGTGTGATTTGGGGTGAGTTGTTTGACTTTTCTGTTTTTCACCTACAAAGTAGGATTAATAGTAGCTCAAAGTTACAATGATTATTTAAAATTTAAGTTATATATATCTGTTTATTATAATTTATATAGAATATAAATGTGGAAGAACTTTGTATAAGTCATCAAGTATGTTTATATCTTTTTTTAAAAAAGAAGTTTTAAGCCAGGCACGGTGGCTCACGCCTGTAATCCCAGCACTTTGGGAGGCCGAGGCAGACAGCTCACTGGAGGTCAGGAGTTGGAGACCAGCCTGGCCAACATGGTAAAACCCCATCTCTACTAAAAGTACAAAAATTAGCCGGGCGTGGTGGCGCATGCCTGTAGTCCCAGCCTCTCAGGAGGCTGAGGCACGAGAATTGCTTGAACCCGGGAGGCAGAGGTTGCAGTGAGCCAAGATTGCGCCGCTGCACTCCAGCTCTTGGTGACAGGCCAAGACTCTGTCTCAAAAAAATAAAAAAAAGTAATAAAAGTTCTGTTTGGGAGTAATTAGACATAAGGCTGATTATTTATAATAGAGCTTTATTTTGAAATGTATGAAAAGCAGATTGGGGCTTAGAACTGATTAAACAATAGGAAGCCACTAAAGATATTTATGTTGGAAAATGGCACGAAATCGTATTTTAGAGACAAGCCGGCTGGGAATAGGGTTCCGCATGAAATGCTAGATGTGGAGTGGACGTCAGTGTAAGGGTTGTCTACTTGTGGTTCTTTCTCCCTGTAGCTTTTTAGAATGTTTCTTGTATTTCATGTTACCTTTGAAAAACCAATTAGGAGCTTAAATGATGAGATTCTTTCATCTATACAGTAAGGGAAGAGACTTCAGATCAGTTACTAGAGTAGAACAGAATGTTCCTGCCGCACAGGAAATTTGTAGCTGTTTTCAGTGTGTCCTTTCATTTTCAGGGAAAGGTATGTGGCCTGATTTTTGTTTTTCAATAAAAGATTGATTTAGTGTGCAGCTTTACTCATGACTGGAAGTTAGTTAAATTAATTGCTTCTTAACTCCTTTGTAACTGCCTTGCAAACATTTCTATCTCAGTGCTTTTTAAAATCTCTTCTTGAGAATTTTGTATTTTTACTTTTTTTTTTTTTTTTTTGAGATGGAGTCTCGCTTTGTCGCCCAGGTTGGAGTGCAGTGACACTATCTCGGCTCACTGCAACCTCTGCCTCCCGGGTTCACGCCATTCTCTGCCTCAGCCTTGTGAGTAGCTGGGATTACAGGTGCCCGCCACCACTGCTGGCTAATTTTTTGGTATTTTTAGTAGAGATGGGGTTTTGCCGTCTTGGCCAGGCTGGTCTTAGATTCCTGACCTCGTGATCCACCCGCCCCAGCCTCCCAAAGTGCTGGGATTACAGGTGTGAGCCACAGTGCCTGGCTGTATTTTTACTTTTGAGGACTGCGTTAGAATTAACAAAATCATACATCTGTGAAGGAGACTTTTGTTACGTTTTTTGGACAGCTATGACCGAAGTAATGAAAAAAAAAAATAGTAAACTGGAGTCTACTATTTTGTTGATTTTAGTTTTAGATTGATTTCTAGCTCTGGCTAGGGATTTGACACATCAGCACATGTTCTTTAGGCAAAAGAGCTGGGTGGGACAGAGCTTCTGTTAGGGCAGGTTGCTGTTTTCTTAGTATTTCCTTTGCCTCCTTCGTCAAGAACTAAAAGTTTGGTAGGTTTAGAACTTGGGTGGTCTCTTACATTTTTACCAATTATCTTATACCTGTTGTGAGAATTTATACATCACGGAACACAATGAACATCATCCAGGTAAAACATTAGAACATGAAAATAACATTGCCAAGCTTCCCACATTGAGATTTGATTGAGATAATCTTATAGTTCATGTAATAATAGATGATAGTGGCCTTTAAATTTGATTTACTTTTATTTTTATATAGATTTCTGGGGTACAGGTGCAGTTTTGTTACAGGTATAGATTCCATGGTGGTCAAGTCAGGGCTTTTAGGTATCCATCACCTGAATAATGTACATTATACCCATTAAGTAATTTCTCATCATCCACCTTCCTCCCACCCCCTCATGCGTGTGACCCTCCACTGTCTATCATTCCTATTGTGGGTCTCCTAAATGGAGCAGTCTGTGGCATATACAGCAATATACCTGGCCTCCATCTTTTAAATACTTTGTAAAGAACAACATGGCAATTAAGGAAACTTCTTACCACTCGGCATTGTATTGCAGTGACATTGCTTATCATAATTTGGGTTGGCACAGGTCTAGAGCTGTGGATCAGGAACATTAAGTGTTTTGCATGGGCTGCTGCTGTCCCCAGATTTTTGAGCTCTTGAGCCAGGCCATATGCGGGTTGTGAAGGCTGATAACAGCTCATATTTCAGATGTAGAGAATGGCATTTTCTCAGTCCAGTGAGTGGAAAAGAGAATATGATTAGGAATGGAGCATGCAGTGCATTCCTTAGATTAGGAATCAGAGATTTTCCTCTTACTGTTTCCCACCTGAAAGAGAAGGTATACAAAAAGAAGGAATTCTAGAGTGGATCACTGTTCTGTTTCCTCTGGTAACTCTTGAACTAGGGACCTCAAACTGAGTGGGTCCCTTAGCCAACTTCCTTGGCTAAAGGTTGATGAGAACTTGGCGAACAGCCTAGGCATTCTCAGCCAGATTTCTTATCATTTTTGATCGAGTCTTGGCTTTGGAAATTTATGAATTCATTTTTTTGAAAAAACTACCCTTTCTTTAAGTGTGTCAGAGACCTTAGTAGACATGGGTGGAGTGGGGGTGTAAAATTGATTAATTCTATATATTGATCTCTGCCTTTGCTGATGGAGAAATTCTCTTGAACTATCTCAGAGCAGTATAGTCCTACTTGCAAAGGTTCTCACTCTGTCCCACTGTAACGGTGGACGTAACTGGCAGACCAAACGGGGAGCCAATAATGGACTTCTGTGAAGCGTGTGTCCTTCACTTAGGAAGTTAATTTGCAGAGAAATGTCAGGAGATCTACAGACCAAAATCTCTGTCAGGAGATCTACAGACCAAAATTTTTTCAAGTTGTTCTTTATGGGCAATCTAATACCTGTATTTTTTCCTCAAGAATTATACTTTTAATATTTCCCTATCAGAAATATATGTATTTATAAGAACTACCCTTTACAATTTCCTTTATATGCAAACATGTATGTGCATTTGTATATAAATACATATATACAACTAATATGTTTGTATAAAGAACTTCCTTTATACAAAAAAGTGGTTGTTATTGAGTAATAAAATCATATGAAGGAAAAATTAGATCTCTTTTCATCATTTCAGTTGCATCATCCTGAGATAACTTGTATGAATGATCTGCTGTGTGTGTGTGTATATATATATATATATTTTTTTTTTTTTCTTCTGTTATACTCAGAAATGCGTAGACACACATACAGGGCTTTAAAAATGCTCTGTACCTGGCAACTCAGTTTAAAAATAATTTACCAACATATTAACATCTTTTTAATAGAGCACATGTTGATTTAGTTCATGCTTGTCATTGGCTACAGAATATTCTAGGTATAGAACGGATTGTAACTTAGTCATTCCTCTGTAGATGGAGATTGCATTTAATTGCATTTTCCCCTCCTTTACCAAATCTGCCCTGATAGAGGCTTCTGTATAATAGATGATGCATCATATACACATGCAACTGTTAGGAATTCAAATGTATCTAGTTAGCAAAAAATAAGTAAATAAAGTCAAATTAAGTGAGAGTAAGAAACAACAATGGCCAGTCACAGTGGCTCATGCCTGTAATCCCAGCACTTTGGAAGGCTGAGGTGAGTGGATCACTTGAGGTCAGGAGTTCGAGACCAGCCTGGCCAACATGATGAAACCTCGTCCCTACTAAAAATAAAAAAGTTAGCCAGGCCTGGTGGCATGTACCTGTAATCCCAGCTACTCTGGAGGCTGAGGCATGAGAATCCACTTGAACCCGGGAGGCAGAGGTTGCAGTGAGCCACTGTACTCCATCCACTGCTCTTCATCCTGGGCAACAGAGTGAGACTTGTCTCAAAAAAATAAAAAATAAAAAAATTAAAGAACAGCATGAAGGGTGGAGTGGGTGGGTAACTCACCTGCTGCTCCTTTCTACGAGCTTATTATGATAGGGGAGCAGTGGCTTTGCTCTTGTCATTCTCAATTCCCTTTTAGTTTTATTTATTTACATATGTATTTGGTGAGCATCTCAGAGCTAGACTGTGATTGTAATGTTTTAAAATATGTGTCATTGTTTATGGCCCCCAAATCCAAGCTACTTACTTCACTTGTGTTCAAGCTGTACAAATAGCAGTCTGTTCCAACACTCAAGGAAAAATTGGTTTGCGTTGGAATTTCCTGAGAAAATGCCATGTCCTTCTCTAATGTGATTCTTTCCTTTGTGATTTCCAAGGGAAATATCTAATAATATGCATATTAGAACCTAGTGATTGCTGTAAGATGCAATTCTTTTTTTTTTTTTTTTTTTTTTTGGAGACAAAGTTTCCCTCTGTTACCCAGGCTGGAGTGCAGTGGTACCATCTTGGTTCACTGTCACCTCCGCTTCCCAGGTTCTAAGCGATTCTCCCACCTTAGCCTCCCAAGTAGCAGGGACTATCGGCACACACCATCAACCTGGCTAATTTTTGTATTTTTAGTAGAGATGGGATTTCACCATATTGGCCAGGCTGGTCTCAAACTCCTGACCTCAGACAATCTGCCTTGGCCTCCCAAATCGCTGGATTACAGGTGTGGGCCACTGTACCTGGCCCAATTCTTTTCTTTATATGTAAGTCCTACATTTGTAGGATAGATATTTATTTCTAACTTATTGTTACGGAACCTTGCAAACATTTAAAGAAAATTGGAGACAATTGTACATACAAGGAATGTGTGTGTACCCATTGCCCTGTCTCAGCACTTCAGTTTTACCTACCATGTCTTGTCTTCTAGCTTTCATTATTTTAAACATATTCCAGTAATCATATAATTAAAATGGGACACTTTCATAACATACACAGTTGTTGATTGTAATTCCATCTAAGTTACTTTCTTAAAAAAATTTTTTTTTTGAGATGGAGTCTCACTCTTGCTCAGGTTGGAGTGCAGTGGTGCAGTCCCGGCTCACTGCAACCTCTGCCTCCTGGGTTCAAGTCATTCTGGCGTCTCAGCCACCTGAGTAGCTGGGATTACAAGCACACGCCACCACACCCAGCTAATTTTGTAGTTTTAGTAGAGATGGGGTTTCACCATTTTGGCCAGGCTGGTCTCAAACTCCTGACCTCAGGTGATCCACCTGCCTCGGCCCTCCCAAAGTGCTGGGATTATCGACGTGAGCCACTGCGCCCAGCCAAAATGATTTTTATTTTTTATTTTCTTAAAATGTTATTATGATTTATACTGCCATGGGCATACCTTTCTCACAATTCACATTTGGTATCTGCTCTGATAGGCCAAAAAAAAAAAAAAAAAAAAAAGACATCCCTTTCCTCCTTTCAATTTGAAAATACTCTTTTCTGTTTAAGTTCCTAGGTACTTCTTCTATGAGAATCATTGAATCCAGCCTTTTTCTTACAAAAAAATTATAAAATATAAAAACCAATCCAGTGTTGTTCTTGCTGAAGGTCATTGTAGGTTAATTTGTAAAGTGTTGGCCCTTGTGTGATATCAGGTCTTCCCATCCAGGAATATGTTGCTACTGGTGTCCCAGGAACAGCTGACCCCTCCCTGATCAGTTCTCTTCTCCAACTCCACTTGGAAATCCATCTATCCAATGGTCGCTCTCTCCCACATATGAAGGATTCAGCCCAGCTTCCAGAGAAGTTTCAGGACTCCAGATTTCTATCCCATCCTCTGCTGTGTTCCACCCCCCACCTCACTTCTAGAACTCTACGTCTCAATTCTGCCTGTTCTTGATACCACAGCAGGCATAGAACAGATCTGGTGGTGATTGGCCATATGCGATTTTCCCAGAGCACTCAGTCTCATTTTAACATTAGAAGTCCCCTGAAGGTGAGGTGTACATCCTGAGCAATGAGCAGTTATTGAGCACTATTTATACTCCAGCATGTTACTGGTGTACACGGAAGTGCACACAGACACAGGCCCTCCACCCAGCTCCAGAGCTCATAGTCCAGTATGGAAGAAATACTTTGGTCAAATTGTTTTGGGTGTAACAAACTACTCACATTGTAGAATAGGGGTTTCTGAGTTCCATTCATTCAGAACGCTGCAAGACTCAGGTTATGTATTGAAGCCTACTGACACAGGATAGACTAGAGAAGTGATTTGCCCAAGAGCAACATGGAGTTCTATCCCCAGTCTCTTATATTAAGCCCTGAACTCATCCCGCTCTCCTCATGATTTTCGGTCATGTTTAGTACGCTACTGCTGCTGGTCATTGAGGCCATCCTTTTCCTTTTGTTACTTTTAAAGTTTTAATTATTTATTTTCTATTTGTTTTTACATTTTTATTTGCTGCTTTCTTAAATTCGATGCGAGTGAACACTTAGAGTAATTCTAGTGGGAATTCAGTAGGGTACCTTTTAGGTTCACCTGATATTTGACAGAAAAATTCTTACCTAGCATTAATGTGTTTTTAATAATTGTATTTAGTACTTTGTATAAGATGGAGAATAATTTTCTTCTTCAACCTTGGAGGAAGTATTTGCTAATCACTCCCTCTTTGTAAGCATTGATACTTTCATGACTTCTTTGTAACATTATTTAATGACTGTAGGATGCTTTAGAAAATACAGAATAGGATAAAATGATAGATAGTTGTATTTTTAAAAGTGGAATTGTTTTCTGTCTTTCAGAAACCTTTCGGGGAATTTGTTTTCTTCATTATCTCAAGGAACTTTTGATTATCTTGCCTCATTACGGTCTTTGTAAGTAAAAAATTTTTTTCTCTGTTTTTTGATTTTCATGTCTTTGAAAATTAAATACATTTATTATGTGGTTTCAGAGACTTTATAAGGACAATCTTGTCAAGTTAGAATCTCATTTGAGAGCTTGCATTCACGTTAGAAAACATATAGTAAGCCTCAATAGTGTGATTTAGACTAGGACAACTGTTTTCTCCTTAGGATACCATATTACTCTAATCTATATTTAGAGTAAGTAAACTGGTAATTTTTTCTTTTTGACTTTTTTTTCAAATCATAAAACGTTGCATTGTTTGACTAATTAAATTTCCAAAGTATAAAATATCCCTTCCTATGAAGAATTTGTAAGAATATTTTATACTTTAGGAATTTAATTTTATCCTGTAAACCCACCCCCCATCTCCCACTTAAAATCAAATTTACAGCTTATTACTGATGTTTCTAGGGATGTTTATTTAGAATGCCTGCTTTATGAAATCAGTTTAAGTTCTGATTTACACAGTTTCTTGTAGCTTTAGAATTGGTTGATTTTTTTTTTTTTTCAGATGGTTTTGTTAACAGAGAGATTGCATAGAAGTTATTTTGAAAGTAGCTATTTTCAGATAAACCTTAACATATCTCAGACTATAAATTATCCTAATTTTATTGGAATTACAGTTAAATGTAATGTTTTTCAGGTTTTCATTGAGTAATTTATGGGATTGAGTGTTTTTCTTCCAGGGAATGAATTTTTCTCTCCTGATTCCTCTCTTCTATGTACTCTGACTTCTCCTCTCATCTCCCTTCCATTCCTACACCTGTCATTTAAATCTCATTTAGGAATCTTCCTTGGGATGTAGCTAATAGCTATTAGGAGCCCCAGCCAGCTTCTCACCATCATAGCAGGCATGTGTATGTACTTCTGAAGTCACTTTGGCTCATACTCCATCTTCTTTCTCTTTTTGGCACCCTTACCATTCTTATCCAGAAGACTACCTTTGAGCAGAAACATCTACTTTTGGCATATTTAGTGGGCTCAGGTCAGCCTTTTCTGCAAAGATTAGGAAATAAAAAAGACAAAAGCTAGTCTGGGTTTTGAGACCCTGGGTAGCAGGAGCATGGGAAGTATTTTCATCCCCCAAATGGGAGAAATTGCCAGTGTTTTTTTTACCTGGTGGTGTTAGGAACTGACCAGAAGGTGGTGCTTAGAAATTAGGAGTCTGTCACATCCTCCTCCTGGTGTTGTTTAAATTTATTTTCTGTGCTGTATTCCATCAGATCCCTTTTCTTTTTTCCTTACTCTTTTTTGCCAAAACTAACGAGGTGAACCCTGAGCCAACACTCTAGCTGTGTTAGAAGCATACACACTTAAACATTATTGCACTTTGTTGATTTATTTTTATAGAACATATTGCATTCTATTTTAGCTATGTTTACATTTTGATTCTTCTATTATATGTTGCCCCCCATATTGGCAGGAACAGGGTCCTGCATTTATTGTTATTAGCTGGACTTAGCAAATGTGTGGCACATGAATAGTCAGCACTTAGTAATTATAGTATTTAAGAGATTTGTGCTTATATCTCAGCTCTGTTTATCCTTTCTTCTTCTCATGCCCACGTGCCAAATTATAAAGGTTTTTGCCTCAAATGAAGACATTTCATTACTATCTTTTGTATCAAAGCTGAGACATTCTTATTTGTATGCTTTTGATTTGTTGGGTCTTTATCTCTTACATTTGTAAATATCTATGGTGTCACTTGGTGCATAGCAGAAAGGGGGCAGAAACAGTTCCTACCCTAGGGGAGCTCACAGTCTGGTTAGAAATACAGAATATAGTCACAGAAAACAATCCATATTGCTTTAGGTTGCTGTTTCATTGTCAAAATCAACAGAGTTGGTAGGCATTTAGGACAAGAATGTGATAATGATGCTGGAAAATTGGGGATGGCTTCAAGATCTAATATTAATGCCACACACTTCATGATAAATGGGTAGAAGCTTGTTAGACAAAAAGGAATGGGATTTGGTATTCTAGAGAACCCTGGTGTTCAGTAGCTTGTTGCCTAGAAGAGGGATATCTGCCAAAGAGTCTTTGTTTGCCTACCAGATTTCATCCAAAGCAGAAACTAGGGACCAGCAAGAACAGTGTTGGGGTCCAAAACTCTGCAATTCAGCTCCTTGGAGAGAAACTGTAGCTAGCCAACGAAATGTGCTTTAGGCGTGGTATGGGTGAACAGTATTGTGCTTGCCACCAGAAACGTAACCTAATATAAAACAAAAGTGCTATTTAATTTTATTCACTATAATCTCTTAAGTTGTGTTTATATGTTACAGGGAATTCCAGACTGAGTATCTTTTGTGTGACTGTAACATACTGTGGATGCATCGCTGGGTAAAGGAGAGGAACATCACAGTACGGGATACCAGGTGTGTTTATCCTAAGTCACTGCAGGCCCAACCAGTCACAGGCGTGAAGCAGGAGCTGTTGACATGCGGTAAGGGAGAAATCCAAACTGAGAAAGCATTTGCCATATTTTGACTTTCTACCATGTTTTTCTTGACAAATTGTAAGATTCTCTTTATACTTGGACAGAACTAGTATGCAGCCATTAATCATTATGAATTTGATAATATTTACTTTATGCCAACAATTAAGCCAGCTAGATTAAACGACCTTTTTTTTTTTCAATTGGTCTTTAAGGTAGTAGCTGTTTTTAGGTTCACATCAACTTTCTTTATGCAAACCAATTTCAAAGAATAGATTTTCAGATTTTCCATCAGTTGGCAACTCATGAATTTGTAGTAACACAATCTCAGGATGCACACATCCTGTGTGTGGATGGGAATGTGAATGATACAGTCTTTTTGAAGCAACATGTTTCAATGTTCTTAAAAGACTGATACAGGCAGGGCATAGTGGCTCACACCTGTAATCCCAGCAGATCACCTGAGGTCAGGAGTTTGAGACTAGCTTGGACAACATGGTGAAACCCTGTCTCTACTAAAACTACAAAAATTAGCTGAGCATGGTGGCAGGCGACTGTAGTCCCAGCTATTTGGGAGGCTGAGGCAGGAGAATTGCTTAAATCCTGGAGGTGGAGGTTTCAGTGAGCGGAGCTCGCGCCATTGCACTCCAGCATGGGTGAAAAAAGTGAAACTCCATCTCAAAAAGAAAAAAAAAACCCAAAAAACGGATACAGTTAGATCTAGTAATTCTCTATCTTACAATTAATTCTTAGGAAATGATCAGCTTTGTATGTAAATCTTCAGACTCTGTGTATAAGCATATCTTACATTCTCAAAAATAGGGGATTGGTTTAATTACTTGTGACATACCCATTCAGTAAATGCAACTGTTGAAAATCATGATTTTGAAGAATATCTGAGGAAATGAGGGAAATAACATATTTGCCACGTGTTAAATGAAAAACACACAAAAAAACACACCTACACACACAACCCCATAAAACAAAAACAGTCCTAAAATGGTGGGGGGAGGTCCCCGTTTAGTCTTTGTTTGGAAATAATGTATCATATTTTTTTCCTTTTCTCTTTATTATTGTTGTTGTGTCACAAGTAAAATATGCTCACTGAATGAAAATTAAGATTTGTGCAAAGGAAATAAAAACAGAGAAACAAAGACCATGTTTATGTTCATGACTGAAAGATAGCTAGTGTTAAGACCTTTTTGTATCATCTTCTATGACTTTTTTCTATTTTTTAACAAAAATATCGTTATACTCTAATGATATTTTATAACCTTTTTAAAGTTGAATTAATGTAAACGTATTTTCTTATTTAAAATAGATGCATATCAACCCATTGTATAGATGAAGCCATAGTTAACAACTTCTCTGTTACAGCATATTTAGCTCGTTAATAATTTCTTGCTTCATAAATAATGGAAGGACTAATTTCTTTGTATGCATTTTTGCATATTTTCTATTTAGGATACACTACTGCTAAAAGTAGAATTGTCGTGTTAGAAAAATGGACTACATATTTAAAAGTCTTTTAATGAATCAATGTCATTTGTGTACATTTTTGTACATATATTTAAAATATTTTTCTGACTGAAAGGAAAAATCTGATTAAAAACTGTTTACACTATATGGGATCTTAAAATACTGGTTTTTCTTGTTTTCTTTAAATGTTCTGATTTTTCTGCAATGAACATGCATTAGTTTTACAGCCAAAAACCTGTGTTGTAATCAAAGGTAATGTAGTCTCCAAAGTGTATTTTAAAGTTGTAAATATCAGCATTTACTTATCACTGATGCCATTTTCTAGAGCACAGCTTGTTCTTTTAGTTCATTTCTATAATCATCTGATACTCTTGTGATGCCACTGAAGAGGAATAACTCTAAATGTCAGAACTGAGTATGAAATTGTTTCTTTTAAATTTCGTTTTTATCTGTTATCACTAAACTCAGTAGCAGCCTGGTTGATGTTAGCATTAGCATGCTGGTTACTGAGGAATATTTGTTGTTCTGTTTTTATAATTTTACCTAGAATTTCTGTAACTTTTAATTATGGCATTTGGAAGTAATATTTGTTTCCTGAATCTTTGACTGTCTCTAGACCCTCCACTTGAATTGCCATCTTTCTACATGACTCCATCTCATCGCCAAGTTGTGTTTGAAGGAGACAGCCTTCCTTTCCAGTGCATGGCTTCGTATATTGATCAGGACATGCAAGTGTTGTGGTATCAGGACGGGAGAATAGTTGAAACTGATGAATCGCAAGGTATTTTTGTTGAAAAGAACATGATTCACAACTGCTCCTTGATTGCAAGGTAAACTTTTTTTTTTTTTTTTTTTTTAATGAAGAATTGTGCTTGTATATTTTATTTATCCTTTTGGAGTTGCAATGTTTAGTGGAATTTGAATTAATATTTCATCTTCTTGTATTTAAAAATGCAAACATCTGGCGTTTCCTTTTCCTGGTTCTTATTCATCTTCTAAAATTAAATAGCCATCTTTTCATCCAGTTTTTAAAGAAAAGGCTTAATTTCAAAGAGAAACTTCAGAAATTGGAGACTTTTTAAAAGTCTTTGGAGGAAAAATGTAAACTTTTAGTGCTAAACCTAATTTCCAACTATTTCCTGCTGCTAAACTTATATTTTCTCTTTTAGTAACCACCTGATATTGACTCTAGTCAAAATATTGACTGATACAATATTTTAAGGTATTTACCTTCTCCACCTACTAGTTTCAAAGAATATAACCTCTGAACTATCAACCTCATGATTGGTGTGAATACCAAAATAATTCAAATGAACTTTATAAAGTATAATAGACTAAGAATATATATGATATTATCACTTACCAGATATTTTACTTTGGTAAAATTTTTACCTATAGACGTTGAGTTTTCTGCTCACTTTCTTCTTTCTTTCCACCTACCTAGAACTTGGCTTATATTTTTATTTCAGTAGAGCTACAGTTGTCAAACTCTCTGCCAGGGCCTCCTAGGGTAACATCACAGCAAACTCGTAGGAGTGCTATGAAATATTACTGAAAAACTAAAGGTTCTGAGTTGACATTCAAATCTCAGGGGTTCTCTGAGTTGAGATTCAAGACTTATGCAGTCGGCTATTTTATAATTTTTCTTGAGATTTCTTGTCTACTAGAAGCACATTTTCATTTATATCTTACAACATTTAGAGTAGATGCTTTTAAATCCTTTCCTACTAATTCCAACATGTGGGCCATCTTGTGGTTATTGCTACTGGCTGCTTTGCTGTTAAATATGGTTCATATTTTCTTCTTTTTAAAAAAATATTGTTTATGTGTCTGACAGTTTTGGGTTATAGACTCGACATTATGAATGAATTGCTGTGGAGGAGAGGTTGGCAAAGTATAGCCTATGAACCAAATCTGGCCTGCTGAGCCCATAAACTAAGAATGTTATTTATATTTGAAATGGTTACATTTCAGATGGTTACATAATTACCTATATAATATTCTTAGTATTGCTTCGTAGCCAGCAAAGCCTGAAATATTTACTGTCTGGCCATTGAAGAAAAAGTCTGCTGACCTCTGACTCTGGATTCTGTTGTATTCCCCTGAAGAGAGCTAACTTTTGTTTGTTCAGGCAGTTAGCTTGGCTGAACTAACTCCTAGCTTTGTCCTCTCTGGTAGGCAGAAGCTAAAGTCTTGGTTTCTGCCCTACCTGCAAGTGTAGTTCAGGATCAGTAAGAGACTTTGGTGCATTTTATGCATAGTAGTTTGGGCTTCCAGCCTGACTTCTTTCTACCTCTGTCTTCTAATTTTTTAAGTCAATAAGATTGTAAGTTTCTATTTGAGTGAGGCCTACCCTTGGGCAAAAGCCGTTAAAAAAAATTCTCCCAGTTACTTCCCAGTGCCAAAAACCCTTGTTTCTCATATCAACTCCTCTTCTGTTATTGCCTGCTTTTGATCAATCTTCATGTGTTCAAATGATTGTAATTTTATAATTTGTCAGGGACATATAATTGTTAGCTGTGGAAAGGGTGATTTAATATGAGCTACTCAGTGATTACTGGAAGCAGAATTCCCTTATTAGGGGATAAGATTAATCGTTGGAAATGATATATTTACACTAGTTTTACTGTAGTGATAATTTCGCATGCCTATACATATGTCAGAATTCATCACATTGTACACTAAGCAGTTTATTGTATAAACAGACAATAATTGATGTATAATTCAACAGTAAAGTTTTAAAAGTAGAACCATTTTCATTGTAAAAGAGCTTTGATTAATTTAGAACTCTAAATTATTTGACTATAAAGTAAGTAGATTTACTGTATAAGTCTATTTATGCAAGTCATGCTTAAATTTAAATTATGTATAGCAATGCAAAAAAAAGTTAATTCTAAGGATAGCAAGTTAGCCTAACATTTTTTTTGGTAGGGACATTAGACTAATGTGAAAATCTTTCATGTGAAGACCGAGACAGTTCTTTACCTAGATTTTGCCCCAGAATAATAGAAAAAAGAAATATGTGGTTATTGTATTGGTTAATCTGAGATTTCTATTGATTTTTCATTGATCTCCCCATGTCTTTGATTCTTCATCAGTAAGAAACAGCATTTTTCTTAAGAGCTGAAATTGAAGCTACTTCTTTCTTTTTAAATCTCCAAATTTGCTGCCTTGAGGATTACTGAAAATTTTATTCCAGTGATTGGTTTTAGACATTAAAAGTATTGCTAAAAGTTATCCAGGAAACATTTACAGATTTGGAGACTGAAGGGGAAAAATGTAGTAAGAAAACTAGAAGCACTCCGTTATAGTGTCATACTTTGGGATGCTGGACTTTGGACGGTTACTGTGGTACAAAGCAAGTACTGTGTGTAAAAGTCATTGTAGAACAAGAAATGAGCATCACTGTCTGGTCCAAGTCTGAGGTTAGATTAATTTTAGAGTGTCTAACAGGCACACATATTTCATTAAGAAGTAGTTGTGGTTATTTAAGAAGACAATAAAAATTTTATTTCAAATTTATGTGTGTTACTTTTTTCAAATGGCTACTAAAGTATTTGAATATAGATAGACATTTTGGGGATTTAATTTAGTAATAGAAACCACCATAGGTATTTTTTTGAGCTGAGAAGGGGGGCACCATGTAAAAGTTACCATGTCAGTGAAGGTTCTGTGAAGTAAAACAGTGTTTGGGAACTTCTGGATTAAGGAATGATTTTCATTGCCAAAATATACTTCTTCCTAGTTCAGTAAAGCCTTATAAAGTAGAATGTTGGACAAAGTTAAATTTAATGTCAAACTCTTTTTTGTGTCACTCTATTTTAAAAATATTAATTATAGTGTGTTTATTTTTCTAACTTAGTAAAGACAATGAACATTATCTTTGATGATTCATAATATAAAAGTGTCTTGAGCCTTTATTAGAACAATTTGCTGTAGCCATCAATGATTTAGGAGACTGGACAAATGTGTATTTACTTCAAGACATAATTTTGTAAGTTAATTAAAATGATACATACTTTCTGTCTAATTATTTCTTATCATTTGTGTCTACATAACAGCAATGCATACTAGGTCCTGTGGGGGAAATAAAGATTAATTGAAGGCTCTGACATTTGCTCCTTAATTAATAGGTTTTATATAAGAGAATTATGATTTCATCTTGGAAATTAGATTTACTGACAGCTATTTAGAAATACAGCTGTTTTATGAATTGAAATATACCTTAACATGGAAACCTTTTGTGAAAGTATTAATTGGTAATTTACTAAATCTTTTTAGAGAGGTAGTTGGTTTGTTTCTAGTGTAACCCTTTATATTTTACCTTAAACATTTTCTTAATTATGTAAAATCATAATCTTTTTTCTTTTCTTTTTTTTTTTGAGATGGAGTCTCACTCTGTTGCACGGGCTGGAATGCAGTGGCGCAATCTCGGCTCACTGCAAGCTCCACCTCCCGGGTTCACGCCATTCTCCTGCCTCAGTCCCCCCAGTAGCTAGGACTGTAGGCGCCCGCCACCATGCCCAGCTTATTTTTTGTATTTTTAGTAATGACGGGGTTTCACCGTGTTAGCCAGGATGGTCTCGATCTCCCGACCGCGTGATCTGCCTGCCTTGGCCTCCCAAAGTGCTGGGATTATAGGAGTGAGCCACCACACATGGCAATAATCTTTTTTCATATTTGAATGTTTTCTTCAGAATCTGTGAAAAGGGAGATGTGACTTGGAAACTTCTTCAAGTTTTGCTAAAGAATGTACGACGATGTTTCTGCCTTTGGGCTTGCCATTCCTATTTTTTTTTTGTGAGACAGAGACTTGCTCTGTCACCCAGGCTGGAGTGCAGTGGTGGTCTCTTGGCTCACTGTAACCTCTGGCTCCTGGGTTCAAGCCATCCTCCAGCCTCACTCAGCCTCCCAAGCAGCTGGGATTACAAGCGTGAGCCACAACACCTGGCTAACTTTTTACAATATTTTTAGTGTAGATGGGGTTTCGCCAGGCTGATCTTGAAGGCCAGGCTGGTCTTGAACTCCTGCCACCCAGAGTGCTGGGATAGCTTGCCATTCCTGTTCTGTAAAGTGTTCTGCTCTCCCTGTTTCTGCAAGGAGAATTCTCATGCATCGTATAGCATTGCATTTGATTCATATGTCTCTTACTGCCCTGATCGTGTATTTTAAAGATCTCTTTCCTTTTTTGCCTCAACATTGAAAGATGTAAAGGAAGGAGTCATTTTTTAAATTCATTTTTATGTAGCAAGTGCTTACCTCACAATATGCATTCAACACTATTTGCTAAGTGAATGATCGAGACCCCTTATTGTCTCCTTTTTTGCCTAATTCTGTTTTCTCTCTTTTTAAAATCTTTCTTTATGCAGTGCCCTAACCATTTCTAATATTCAGGCTGGATCTACTGGAAATTGGGGCTGTCATGTCCAGACCAAACGTGGGAATAATACGAGGACTGTGGATATTGTGGTGTTGGAGAGTTCTGCACAGTACTGTCCTCCAGAGAGGGTGGTAAACAACAAAGGTGATTTCAGGTCAGTGGCGTGGAAAATACTGGGAAAAGTTTCATTTGCCCCAGATCCTTCTGTTGTCTAAGACACATTATTGGTTTCCTATCCTGAGTAACAAAGTTTGAGAACTGTGCATGTCTGAGGACTACCCTTTAGAATAATTGTCATGCAAGCCCGTGTGAAGAGACCACCACACAGGCTTTGTGTGAGCAATAAAGCTTTTTAATCACCTGGGTGCAGGAGGGCTGAGTCCGAAAAGAGAGTCAGCAAAGGGAGATAAGGGTGGGGCCGTTTTATAGGATTTGGGTAGATAAAGGAAATTTATAGTCGAAGGGGGGTTGTTCTCTGACAGGCAGGAGTGGGGGTTACAAGGTGCTCAGTGGGGGACATTTTTGAGCCAGATTGAGCCAGGAGAAGGAATTTCACAAGGTAATGTCATCGCTTAAGGCAAGGACCGGCCATTTTCACTTCTTTTGTGGTGGAATGTCATCAGTTAAGGCGGGGCAGGGCATTCGTACTTCTTTTGTGATTCTTCAGTTACTTCAGGCCATTTGGGCATGTATGTGCAAGTCACAGGGGATGCGATGGCCTGACTTGGACTCAGAGGCCTGACAATAATGATTTCAGAATCACTTATGGAGAGGAACAAAAGGGGTGCTTGAACTTTGTCTCAGACCTGTTGATTTAAGAATCTCTGAAAGCAGAGTCATTTTTAACAAATGGTTTTGTTGTATAAGAGCCATTGCCTTAGGGAAACATTTGAGATATTCTGGTAAAAGAGTACAAAATTCAAACAGGTTAAGTAAGGTATTTTCTGTGTTCACCCCTCCTCCCCCCTCCGCAATGGCCCTTTTATAGGTGAACCTTGGAAGGTTTTATATTGCTCAGGTACTTTTCAGTACTGGCGGTTCAGTAGGCATCATAATTAGAAGAAACACATATCTCATTTTCTCCCCTTGTTCAGTTCTTCTGGAAATCAAGCAAGAAGGACTTTGGGAAATGAAAGCTGTTGGGTAGCCTGAAATTTGGGGAGCCATGGAATCCCAGGTGGGGTTTGTTGAGCTCTGTTAATGTAAGCAAAGGGAGTTATTTATTTATTTATTTTAGTAGACAGTTTAGGATTTGCAAGAGACGACAGCTTTTACCTTAAACTCTCTTTACTTTCAAAGGTGCTTTGAAACATCTTTAAATATCTTATTTACTTCATCTTATTTATGTTCAGGGATTTAAAAAATGAGTTTATATTTGATATAAACAAAGGGAAATATGTTATTCTTTGAAGCAGCAGAAAGATCGTTTATTACCCAGTTTGCATTGTCTCTGATGGGTTCAGTTGTCACCTCCTGCCTGTAACCTCAGTGTTTCAAGGGTGGGAAAACCCTTTGGTGTTAATCTTTTAAATCCAAAGCAAAGAAGCAATAATAACGTCTTTGTCTCAGCTAGTTCGCCATTGCTCTTATAAAAATGATTCTTGACATCAATATATGGAAATCAACATTTATTATTGCCAATGGATAAGTCTTTTATGTAAATTAAGTATTGATCCATAATATTATTTAGAATACATGCTTTTAAGTGAAATATATGATATTTGGTAATTTTGTTATATTTAACATCTTTTATCAAATAATCCTAGTATGATATTTACTAGTTATGGTAGATTTTCTATTTTCTTATAGTTTTGATTGCTTTACATTTTAAAAAATAGAGCAATTAAATGTTTATAGATCAATGAATTATCTTTTAACACTCCTTAAGATACTGTGCAATTAAATACCCACTGCATTAATAAGTTTTAGTTTAGTGTTGCTTGATATATTTATGTGATTTTTGAAATGAATTCTATTTTGGTGTGACTGATACTGTAATTTAGTGGTTCCTGTGATAAGCATCAACGGTAACCTGCATTAAACATGTTGAATTTCATTCTCAGTCTTGGAGACAGAGCTCAAATAACAAAGGTTTCTCCCAGCCCAGTTTTGATGACCCGTGTCAGGGGTGTATTGACATGACATGTTCTCATCTTTGATTTTTTTCTCTGCTATGTACCTGTGTCATTTAGAGTTTCTTGTACTATTTTGTCTTCATCTCTAGATGGCCCAGAACGTTGGCGGGCATTACTGCATATCTGCAGTGTACGCGGAACACCCATGGCAGTGGGATATATCCCGGCAACCCACAGGATGAGAGAAAAGCTTGGCGCAGATGTGATAGAGGTGGCTTTTGGGCAGATGATGATTATTCTCGCTGCCAATATGCAAATGATGTCACTAGAGTTCTTTATATGTTTAATCAGGTAACTAGAAAGTCTTCAAGTTTACTTGGGTTGTGGAGAAAACATGGTATTCACAGCAAATACATAAGGTGTTTTTTTTTTTTAAATACTAGGCAAAACATAAGGATTTGGTGTTTTTACTTTGGTTGACTTAACTGTCTTCAGGATCAGGTCTGTCTTAACCACTAGTCAAGTCCCTCTACGGAATCCTTCCTTTCCAGTCACCGTCTCCCTTTGTGCCTTTGTTTGAATATCTTTTTAAACCTGTATCCACCAGACAGAATCCTAACCATCCTTCGAATTCACATTGAAATTCACCTCTTGGATTCCTTTTATAATCACTTTGTTGAAAGCAATCGCGTAGAATACTTGAACTACTCACGTGCTTTTTGTTATCTTTGCTTCTATGCATCTTTTTAAACCTTACCAGACTATAAGCAAGTGGAAGATGGCTTTTGTGTAATGTATTTTCTTTTGCCCCTTAGCACCTGGTAAAAATCCTTTTGCAATGTTAGGTGCTAAGTCAGTGTTAGAGTCAGTAGATAAACAAATGTAAAACATTACTGGCAGTGCATGGCAAAAAAAGGTAAGTGCCAAATAAGTAGTTGGGACTCTTATGCAGTAGAGTTCCAAGGGAGGTACTGATCACTCCCAGCAGGAATTCTCAGGAAAGGCTTTTATTAAGCAATTGGGATTGAGGTATGTGTAGAATTTGGATAGGCAGAGAAGAGAGAGATGGTGCAACATGTTAACCTCATGTATTTTTATGTATTATCGTATTTCACTCCAAGCTTGAAAAAATTTCCCTCCAGTGAGTTTCAATTGAATTCCAGTTTTCTTAGATTTGTAAAGCATTTTAAGAAGGCCATGATGAGTAAATAATAAAGTTATTTAATTCATTGCTGTTTTGAAATGCAGAGTTAAAATGTCAGGATTGTGTTGATCATTTTGCTAATGACCATTTTGTTGATCATTTTTGCCTTTGAAATGTAGATGCCTCTCAATCTTACCAATGCCGTGGCAACAGCTCGACAGTTACTGGCTTACACTGTGGAAGCAGCCAACTTCTCTGACAAAATGGATGTTATATTTGTGGCAGAAATGATTGAAAAATTTGGAAGATTTACCAAAGAGGAAAAATCAAAAGAGGTACTTTTCTAAATTCAGATTTGTAGCACACAGTGTCAACAATTGGTAGTGTGACAGAGTTCGATCTGTTTATTTTAAGGCCTGTTTATTATGTTTGTCATATTTGAACTAAAAGCACGCTTTTAAATTTCCAGAATTTTGTTGAGATACTTCTGCCTCTTCTCTTATAATGAACTGTTTATTAATGGGACCAGGAGAGGTGAGCTCTCAGTTCTTGGACATTAAGGTCCAGAGATATAGCAGAGGTCGCTGGTGAGAAAGCAGTGTTCTGCCTCCACATTGTGGCTTAGGCAGGGCTGCTTAGCTCAGCCTGCTGGATTTCTCTTCACACACCCTTGCGCTCATCTTTTGTAACGGGAGTTTTAGTCACCCAGATCTTGTAGTAAATTCCTTTTAATTGTCCTTGTAGTGTCCTAGAGAAATGAGAGGATGTTTAGGCACTTTTTTGAAATTCAAAATGATTGGAATATATAAGTTTTAAAAATGCAGTGAATTCTAAAAGTGGCGTATTTTAATCTGACGGGACCACATTGAAACCATGATACGCTTGTCCACATGATATTTTTTAGAGGAAAAAATTGACAAGCACAGTTTATTTCACTTGTGTCCCTGTGAAGAGACCACCAAACAGGCTTTGGGTGAGCAATAAAGCTTTTTAATCACCTGGGTGTAGGCGGGCTGAGTCCGAAAAGAGAGTCAGCAAAGGGAGATGGGGGGGGCCTGGGCCGTTTTATAAGATTTGAGTAGGTTAAAGAAAATTACAGTCAAAGGGGAGTGGTTCTCTGGCGGGCAGGGGTGGGGGTCACAAGGTGCTCAGTGGGGGAGCTTTTGAGCCAGGATGAGCCAGGAGAAGGAATTTCACCAGGTAATGTCATCAGTTAAGGCAGGGACCAGCCATTTTCACTTCTTTTGTGGTGGAATGTCATCAGTTAAGGAAGGAACAGGCCATTTTCACTTCTTTTGTGATTCTTCACTTGCTTCTGGCCATCTGGTCATATATGTGCAGGTCACAGGGGATACAATGGCTTAGCTTGGGCTCAGATGCCTGACAGTTTACAGAATGAATGAGCAGCAAATTAATGTTTTGAATAATTTTCAAGGGGCAGAATTATTGTGTTCTTAAGCTTTACGTTTAAAGCTTCGTGAGAACTTTATATGTACAATTTCTTTTGTGATATAATCACTTATAAAGAAGTGAATTATAGAGGTAGAGGGAACCTCAAGCAAGTGGTAAACTGAAGCCCACGCTTAGGTTAGGGCAGGCCTGGAAACAGAACCCAAGATCCCTGACTCATCCATAAGAGTTTTCTATAGCATCACATTCACCTTCTCATACAATGTGGCCCTGACTTACAATTCTAAAAGTGCTCTGTACACAACTGTGGGGAAACACCGGGCTAAACAAAACCTGCATATTTCTTTATGTAGAATTTCTCAGATCCATTAATATTGCTAAAATGTAAATAATAAGCCTTGTTTTCCTAAATCATTCTAATGTATTTTTATATCACATATACACAGACTTATATATCACATATATATTCTAATATATAATATATATTTAGATATATCTAATATGTATATTATATATTTATGTATCTAATATAGGTATATTCTTAAATACCATATATTTTATTTATATATCTATATTAGATATGTAAGATAGATATCTACATATTATACATCTATATATCTAATATAGATATATTCTTATATATAAGATATATATAAGATATTGTATATAATATATGTAAGAATTAGTATCTTGCTTTCTGGTAATAAGTTTTTGGAACTGTGACCCTAGTGCATTAGGCACTTTACTTGATAGGATGTAGTTATTAATGGAAGGAAAATACATACATTGTGTATAAACGGGACTTAGGCAGATAGGCCACCTCACTTGTCAGCTGGATAACATTTCATTTGTTTTCTGAACTTCAGGGACCATGATTTTCTAATAACTGCTCCTGATACTTGATTGTGTCTCCAGGGCACAGCCCACTTTCCTGCAGTGAATTTTCCTTGTACTGGGAGAGGCCATTTGGATTCTGGCTCTGTGATTAATATTCTGCTCCATTGTTGCTTAAGATGACAGGTTAGCTGCCCACAGGATTAGCAGTCATTTCTGGTAGCAGGATGTTTCTAGTTACTAGAATAATTGTAATGACATTTGGAATGTGGACATGGAAGAACATTCGCCATTGAAGAATACATGTTTATGATGTGACCCTGTTTTGCTCACCCCTCAGCATGAGCAACGTGGTGTCCAGAGGTGTATGTTGAACTGTTTGCCAGCGTGTGGAAGAATAGTCAGCTGTGCTGACGGGTTCTTAGGTGGAAACATCATATTGAACTGGAAGTAGACATGGTTTTATTAGTTATTAATTAACCATGGGCTTATTCTTCATTTTTCGAATTGGGATGCTGTTTTCTCTGTATAATTTGAAAAGTGTATGTGCACAAATAAAGGCGAACAATTTAGCAAAATAGTTGCAAAGCTTGAATATGATTTTATTAGGTTATGAAATATAACATTTTTCTGACCTCAGAAGCTAAGAAGGAAGTCCTTTTAAACAATCACGAGTGCATCAGTTAGTTCTGTAAAAATGTATTGTGAAGAAGATTGCTGTCACTTTTACTAGTTAACATAGGACGGAAAAGTTATGATTATCTTTGGAAGCAAGTGATGGCAACTTACTAACTGTCAGCACGAGAAACAGGAAGATATTCAGGATTGAATAATTGAGGTATAAATGTAATAATATTGCGTGTGATGCAGTGACTGACATACAGTTCTCTGGCAATTTGAGCCACAGACCATAGCTTTCACCATTTATTAGAGCAGTGAAAAAAAATTAGGAGGCTTAAGGGCTTCATTTTAAGTTAATTACCACAGCATAAAATTATGCCAAGTTATCCTAAAATGCACCTAGCTTAGAGAAATAATTAATTAAATTGATTTTTGTGTTATGACTGAAAGTTATTCTTTTATGGGTGATTTCAAAGCTAAAGTATTGTGGGGGAATTGCTTCTTAATCTGTGATTGAGCCTGGACAACACAAGCTGGCACTTTGTTGTCTCAGAATAGGCATTAAAAGCTATCAAACTGCCAGATCTAAGTGATGCATTTAATGGATCCTTTTAAAAACAGTTAAAGGTTGTCTGTCAGGCAACAGAAATGTCTGTTATGTATTTACTAAAGTGATTTTTCTTATGAAAACAGTATGCGTATTCATTTTATAAGATGGGAAAGTTAAATATAAAGATTAGATCTGGTGACGCTTTCTGGCACGCTTACTGTCTCTTGTTTTAAAATATGTGAGTGCAATATGTGCTTTACACTAGTTTTTATATAGATTTTTACAAATGTATGGCTCTTTCATTGATTTTAAAGTGTCATTGCTTCTGTATTGACGGTTATGATTCTTTGGTATTCTTTTTTTTTCTTGATCTTACTTGCCAGACTTTTCTGTATTATTAAGCTTTTCCAGGACATTATTCCTAAAACTTGACCACACATCAGAATCACCTGCTGGATTTATTATACGCAGAGATTGCTGCCTGAGCTCCCCCTCCTTGCCATTCCCAGTTGCCATTTCAGCAGGTCTAAGTGGGTTCAGAGAATTTGAATTTCTAGTCAGTTTCAGGTGATATTTCAGGCAGCATGACTTTGACACTGGCTTTGAGAACCCCTGTAGCATCTCCATTTCTATTGTTGCTTTAATTTTTTTTTTTTTAGGTTGGGGGGGAGTTAACTTTTTAAGAACTTTTTCTTGGAAAATTGAAAAGTATAGGAGAATATTATCATTAATACCTATGCTATACTTCTGCTTGGCTTTGACGGTGTTCAACACAGCAAGCCCTCACTTGCGGTCATCTATAGGTTCTTAGAAACTGCAACTTTAAGTGAAATGATATATAATGAAACCAAATTGACCATATGCTAATTGACGTAAATAAGACTTATAAAATCCCTAGAGATCATTTCTGGTCAAAAAAATATCACTAAACTTCCAAATAAAGACCCCAGACATTCTAATATTAAACATTGAAATAAGTATGAGCCATACACATATTTAAGAAAGATTAATAAAAACAAGACAATTATTTACCCATTGTGTTAGTTTTCATGCTGCTAGTAATGACATACCCGAGAGTGAGTAATTTATAAAGAAAAGAGGTTTAATTGACTCACAGTTCAGCACATCTGGGGAGGCCGCACAATCATGGCAGAAGGCAAAGGAGGAGCAAAGTCATGTCTTACATGGCAGCAGGCAAAGAGAGAATGAGAGCCAAGTGAAAAGGGAAACCCCTCATAAACCCCCTTATAAAACCATCAGATCTTGTGGGACTTATTCACACGACAGTGGAGCAGTCAAATCTTAAAGCTCCAAAATGATCTCCTTTGACTCCATGTCTCACGTCCAGGTCACACTGATGTAAGAGGTGGGTTCCCATGGTCTTGGGCAGCTCTGCCCCTGTGGCTTTGCCGGGCACAGCTTCCCTCCTGCCTGCTTTCATAGGCTGGCATTGAGTGTCTGTGGCTTTCCCAGGTGCACGGTGCAAGTTGTTGGTGGATCTGTCATTCTAGGGTCTGGAGGATGGTGGCCCTCTTCTCACAGCTCCACTAGTTGATGCCCCAGTAGGGACTCTTATCTGGGTGCTCCGCCCTTATATTTCCCTTCTGCGCTGCCCTAGCAGAGGTTCTCCATGAGAGCCCTACTCCTGCTGCAAACTTCTGCCTGACATTCAGGAATTTCCGTACATCCTCTGAAATCTAGGCGAAGGTTTCCAAACCTCAGTTCTTGACTTCTGTGTACCCACAATCTCAACACTATGTGGAAGCTGCCACAGCTTGGGGCTTGCACCCTGTGAAGCAACAGCCTAAGCTGTACCTTGGCCCCTTTTAGTCATGGCTGGAGCAGCTGGGAGCAGGACACCAGGTTGCTAGACTCCACACAGCACATGGACCCTGGGCCCAGCCTGTAAAACCATTTTTT